TGAATGCTCAATAGAAAATATAAACATCTATTATTTATCATACTTTAAGGTTGTGATTCAGTGGAACCAGCTGGTCAAATAAACTGGGTACTGAGCCGTCTTTCAAGAGCAAGCGTTTGTAAATCTCCCCGAGATTCGAGAATAACCTGCAGGCATCAGTAAAAAGACGGAATTTTAAAATGAATTTTAACCACTGATTTTTTGCAGCCTCATCATTCAGAAGTGAAAATAAAATGAATTTACTTTCATAGCGTCTTCTTGTCATGACGTTAACCACACGGCGGCTGGTCAGCGTAGAACAAAGTCGGGGATTAAGCAAATGTGTTACCCAGTGATGTGTAGCCATCACGGAATTGGGATTCGAATTACTGACAACTTGTTTAGAGTCGATTTTTCTGGTCTGAGACAGACACTTTTGGCTTTTAACTTAGCAGATCGTTTATATTCACATACAACTACATTACATGCTGCATGAAAGGCAATATTCGAAATGACATAATAGGGGCACTTAAAACAGAGGAAAATTGCAAACAATAGGACAAATACAATAGAAAAAAGAATGTTGATTCTTATTAAAGTTACTAAAGTTATTCAGTGAAGAGCAGTGAATGATTCTTTTGTTTGATTAACATTAAATGACAAAGATGGCAGCAGGTTTTTTAAGCTGCTTCCCCTTTAAGACAGAATGCACAGATCTAATAGAGTGACAAGCATTCGATTACTTTCCCAACTGTGTATATTCACTTAACAAAATTGACTGTTTAAATAAAAACTCACCAAGATAGACATATTTTTACTTTTTTTTAGTGTGCATTTATCCGTTTAAGCACACGTCCAAAGTAGCCTATACTTGTCCGTGTTTCGCTCTGTCTTGGATTGTGTGCAAAGAAAGCCACCTAGGAAACAGCGTCTCTTTCGCAGCCAATATGCTTTTAACTTTCTCTCTCTCTCTCTCTTTTAGTATCAAGCACGTCCTCTCATGTTACATCATGGGTGCCAAACTCGGTCCTGGAGGGCCGGTGTCCTGCAGAGTTTAGATCC